GTAGGCTGGTCCATGAGGTCACGAAGAGTCGGAGACGACTGAACGAATGAACAACAACAACAACATATTTATTTATTATTTATTTATTTATTTACGGCAATTGTAGTCCGCCTTTCTCAGCCTTACGGCGACTCATGCTGGCTCACAGAATTGGCAGATTTGATGCCATACATTCATAAAAATACAGTTAAAAACATTCAACCTAACATTGTAAAAAAACATATATAAACCATTTAAAAACACATGATCACCGGCGGCGTCCTGTTAAAATCATTAACCACCAGTGTAGTCTAGTCCAGGGGTCCTCAAACTAAGGCCCAGGGGCCGGATGCGGCCCTCCAAGGTAATTTACCCGGCCCTTGCTCTGGGTCAACCTAAATCTGAAACTACTTGAAAGTACACAACAACAACAGTCCTAAAAGCAAGCCCACACTTCCCACTAAAATACTAATAAATTTATATTTGTTAAAATTGTTATTCATTTTAATTAGTGTATTGTCATTTGCACTACAAATAAGATATGTGCAGTGTGCATAGGAATTCATTCATTTTTTTTTTAAAAAAAATTATAATCCGGCTCTCCAACAGTTTGAGGGACTGTGACCTGGCCCTCTGTTTTAAAAATTTGAGTATTCCTGGTCTAGCCATTCCGTGTTCATTCTTCCTATGTCATAATTCCTATTCTGCTGCATTTCCAAGCACTTGTTCAAAAAGCCAAGTTTTTACTCTTTTTCTGAAGATTAAGAGGGAGGGGGCTGATCTAATATCCTTAGGGAGGAAGTTCCACAGCCGAGGGACCACCTCTGAGAAGGCTCTGGGCAAATGTATGACAGCTGGGACCCTACACTATGCTAGTTGTGCAACGCGGCTATGAATTAATGAAGAGAAGATGTGCGGACCTTGAGCCAGAATTAATGAAGGGAAGATGTGCGCAAGAAAGCGGAGTGAGTGAGAGATGCAGCTGCGACAGGGTATCAGTAAAGTAATTTAACTCAGGTGTGACAGGCTAAGGGTGAAGTAATGTAAGAGTGATTTAATGTTAAATGATAAACAACATCTTACGAAGATGGTAAATGGGATAGAAATGTTACCTCTCCCCCTTTCTGGCGAGCAATGTTGCCACTACTCTGACGCAGCTGCATCTCTCCCTTGCTGCGCTGTCTCATGCACATGTTCCTCTCATTAATTCAGACCAGCATTGAGCAACCAGCATAGAGTCCCAGTTATCACACTTTTCCCAGGCCCTGTCTTTTGTCCCCACCAGGTGTGCTTGCGAGGGAGGCGGGACCAAGAGCAGGGCCTCCCCAAACTATCTTAAGTTCCTATATGCTCTGTATCAGAAACTAGAGCTGAGGTGGTCTATCCCAGAGGCGGCCCTAGGTAATTTTCAATGGTAAGCAAAAGGCATTTTGGTGCCCCCCCCAACCAATCACTGATATATATTTTCTGTTCGTCATGGGAGTTCTGTGTGCCATATTTGGTTCAATTCCATCATTGGTGGAGTTCAGAATGCTCTTTGATTGTAGGTGAACTATACATCCCAGTAACTACAACTTGCATATGTCAAGGTCTATTTTCCCCCCAGAGCACCTCAAGAGCGCCCCTGGGCAAAATCAACTCTACTGCAAATGCTTACTTTGCGTAATGGGTTGAGCCGCCCCTAGTCTATCCAATGCAATTTTCTGAATCAGCATCCCAAATAACCAAACCAAATAGAAAGTTGACCAGAAACTGATTTGTAACCCTTTTGGTATTAATGTTATAGAGTGGTCCCTGATCAAGTGGTCCCTGGTCAAAAGAAATGTTGGGAACCACTGGTATAAAGCAATGGACACAACACACATCTCTTTAAAAAAAACATTTCTAAAAAAACCTCACAACCTGAGCTGTAATGTTGAGCTGTTTTTGCGCATTCTTCTGGCACATGAGGAGGAGGAGGAGGAGGAGGAGGAGGAGAAGAAGTTTATTTTCCTACCCCGCCTCCATCTGCCTGAAGGGACTCGGGGTGGCTTACATGGGGCCAAACCCAAGGCAACATACAATTAAAAACAGAACAATAACATATTAAAATAGCATAAAAACAACATAAACAATAGTAAACAAACATCAAAAGCAACAACAGGCTCATTTTTGGAGGGGGGAGGGGGCCAATATGTGAAACTAGTTAAAGGATAGAGTGGATAGAAGCATATAGTAGCATAGAAATAATCGCATAGAAATAGAGCAATTAAACAGGATCAATTCAACTTAACTTAAAAATGTGGTGATGGAATATAGGAATTTGGATTCAGGTTATGATTCAAGGGATATGAGAGAAGCCTCCTCGCAGGCTGTGCGGCCATGTTCAAGAATCATTCTCTCCTGACGTTTCGCCTTCATCTATGGCAGGCACCCTCAGAGGTGGAGCCCCCAGTGGCGCAGAGGGTTATACCCTTGTGCTGACAAGACTAACAGGTCGCTGGTTCGAATCCGGGCAGAGCGCGGATGAGCTCCTTCTGTCAGCTCCGGCTCCCCGTGCGGGGACTTGCGAGAAGCCTCCCACAAGGATGGTGAAACATCAAAAACATCCAGGCATTTCTTGGGCAACGTCCTTGCAGACGGCTAATTCTCTCACACCAGAAGCGACTTTCAGTTTCTCAAGTCGCTCCTGACACGGGAAAAAAAAACTCTCAGAGGTTGGGGTGGTCTCTTTCCGGCTGGTCCTTCCTCAGGAACTTCTTGAAAGAAGAGAGGCGCCTTCCCTTCCCTTCCTTTTCCCTTGGCTCAGCTTCTCCTCCCCGCCACCCCCGCAGCCAGACTCCGGGTCGCTCTTTGGCTGCGGAGGAGCGCCAGGGAGGGCAGGGAGCCCGGGGCTGGGAGGCGGGGGTGGTGGGTGGCCAGTCCTTTGAGTCGGTGCCTCCTTCTCGTTCCCTTCTTGCAGGTTCCCGAAGGAGCCCTTGCTCTCCCGGCCATGAAGCGCTCCCTCCGCAAGTGGCTGCAGTCCGGGGAGAAGAAGGCGCGCACCTCCTACGAGGGAGTCGTGTGCGAAGCCGACGCCGCTTCCATCGCCTCCCAGGACGTCTTCAAGGTAAGCAGCTGTCACATTGGAACATGCAATCCTGGGAGTTGTAGACTGGCGAGGCGGAAGACCTTGTAAGACGACACCAAGGCTCTCAGGCAGGCATGGGCAAACTTGGGCCCTCCAGGTTTTTGGACTTCAACTCCCACAATTCCTAACAGCCGGTAGGCTGTTAGGAATTGTGGGAGTTGAAGTCCAAAACACCTGGACGGCCCAAGTTTGCCCATGCCTGCTCTAGGGTTCCATAGCATTCTGCCTCACCCAAATCAATGAGTTTGGAAGAACACGCCTTGGAGGCTTTGAGGAGGTGTTTCCTTTCTGGACCTGTGCCGAAGGAAACCCACGCGGAGTCCCTTTCCTGCGTGGCTGGGAGTCTTTGCTAACGGTCCTCTCGTGTTCAGTCCTCTCGTGTTCACGAGGAACAATCAAACAGAGATTCTGGCTTAATCTAGTTTTTTTTTCGGGCTGTATAGCCATGTTCCAGAAGCATTCTCTCCTGACGTTTCTCCTGCATCTATGGCAGGCATCCTCAGAGGTTGTGAGGTCTGTTAGAAACTAGGAAAATGGATTTATATATCTGGGGAATGTCCAGGGTGGGAGAAAGAACTCTTGTCTGTTGGAGGTAGGTGTGAATTTTTCTATTGGCCACCTTGTAAAGGTAAAAGGTAGAGGTTTCCCCTGACATTAAGTCCAGTTGTGTCCGACTCTGCAGGGTGGTGCTCATCTCCATTTCTAAACTGAAGAGCCAGCATTGTCCATAGACACTTCCAAGGTCATGTGACCAGCATGACTGTATGGAGTGCTGTTACCTTCCTGCCGGAGCAATACCTATTGATCTACTCACATTTGCATGTTTTCGAACTGCTAGGTTGGCAGAAGCTGGGCCTAACAGCGTGAGCTCACAGCACTCCTCAGATTCAAACCTGCTCAACTTTCGGTAAGCAAGTTCAGCACCTTGATTAGCACTTAATAGCCAAGGTGTGGCTTCTTACTGCCTGAGGGAATCCTTTGTTGAGAGGTGGTTAGCTGCCCCTGATTGTTTCTTGTCTGGAAAAACTCTAAAATCATAACAGTAAATAAAGAACATTCAAAAACAGGGGAACTCCACACTTTGAAACTGCTAGGGCATTAAATGCTAATCAGGGTGACCAATTGAAACATTCACACCTACCTCCAACTGACAAGAGTTCTTTCTCCCACCCTGGGAGAAATATTTATTTGTTTGTTTACAATATTTATAGCCCGCATTTCTCAGCGCAAGGAGGCTGTAGAGCTGCGCAGGAGCCTGGGCGAGAAGGGGTGGGAGAAGGAGACCCTGCATCGGTCCAATGCTGAGCTGCGTGCTGCCCTGAAACGGGCCGAGGGAGAGTGCATCAGGCGGGTTACAGGCTGGCACAATTCAATGCCATACATTCACCAAAGAGCAATTAGAGCAGTTAAAACAATCAACATAACAATATAAAAACATATATAAAAGCTAATAAAATATGTAAACTCCAGTGTCATTCTGTTAAAATCAATTTCCATATATACAGTGAAGCCCATTTTCCTAGTTTCCAACAGATCTCACAACCTCTGAGGATGGCTGCCATAGATGCAGGTGAAACGTCAGGAGAGAATGCTTCTGGAACATGGCTACACAGCCCAAAAGCCTTACAACAACATAGTGATTCTGACCATGAAAGCCTTTGACAATAAATCAGAAATTCAACAGGCAAAATCCCTCCTGCCCTTCTCAGTAAATCTTGTGTGCCTAATTCAACTCTTTTCTAACTTATAACTATCCTAAAGTGATCCTATCCTGAGCTCTTCTAGAGCTGAGATGGCCTGACCCACTTAAATGGATTTCTAAGGGCCAGCTGGGGAGTCTCAACTCTCAAATCAAAACTTCATCTCAACTCTGGATTGTTTCCTGTCAAACATATTAAGGACACAGAGTTAGGGACAGAAAACCTGTACTTTGAATTCCAAGAACTAAAGGAGGTCTTGAGATTTCTCATAAAGTTGGTGTGTATGTGTATAGAATCATAGAATCATAGAGTTGGAAGAGACCTCGTGGGCCATCCAGTCCAACCCTCTGCCAAGAAGCAGGAAAATCACATTCAAAGCACCCCTGACAGATGGCCATCCAGCCTCTGCTTAAAAGCCTCCAAAGAAGGAGCCTCCACCACACTCCGGGGCAGAGAGTTCCACTGCTGAACAGCTCTCACATTTAGGAAGTTCTTACTAATGTTCAGGTGGAATCTCCTTTCTTGTAGTCTGAAACCATTGCTCCACATCCTAGTCTCCAGGGCAGCAGAAAACAAGCTTTCTCCCTCCTTCCTGTGACTTCTTCTCACATACTTATACTTGGCCCCCATTATGTCTCCTCTCAGCCTTCTCTTCTGTCGGCTAAACATGCCCAGCTCTTTAAACCACTCTTCATAGGGCTTGTTTTCAAGACCCTTGATCATTTTAGTCGCCCTCCACTGGCTAAATTCCAGCTTGTCAACATCTCCCTTAAATTGCGTTCCCCAGAATTGGAGACAGTGTGATTCCAGGCGTGGTCTAACCAAGGCAGAATAGAAGGGTAGTATGACTCCCCTGGATCTAGACACTAGACTGCATTATTTATGCAGGCAAAAATCCCATTGGCTTTTTAAGCTGCCATTTCACATTGTTGGCTCATGTTTAACTTGTCCTTGAGGACTCCAAGATCTTTTTCACACGTACTGCTATCAAGCCAGGCATCATCCCCCATTCTGTATCTTTGCATTTCATTTTTTTCTGCCTAAAGTGGAGTATCTTGCATTTGTCCCTGTTGAACTTCCTTTTGTTAGTTTTGGCCCATCTCTAATCTGTATGTGTATATATATACACACATACATACACATACACACACACACACACACCTCTTGTGAATAGTGAAACACAATGAGTGGATCAAAATTACAGGAAAAGGCATTCCACATGTGTATGTGTGTGCATGTGTATGTGTGTGGATCAAAATTACAGGAAAAGATATTCCACCTAACATTAGGAAGAAAAAAAACTTCCTGATAGCAAGAACCCGTCAACAATGGAATCTGCTGCCTCTGAGTGCGGTGGCGTCTCCTTCTCTGGAAATGTTTAATCAGAGGCTGGATGGCCTTCTGTCAGTGATCTTTGACTGTGATTTCTTGCATAGCAGGAGGTTAGACTGGAAGGCCCTTGTGCTCTCTTCCAAATCTATGATTCTCAGAGACCAGGCACAGAACCTTTGGGTTAGATAAGGGCCACCTTTGAAGATCCCGAGAGGCATTTGGGGAAGAGATGGAGGAGTCCTTAAATACCCTCCTCCCCCATCGTATGCCATATTCTGGCAATTTGTGCCAGGTGCAAAGCACCCTGATCTCTGCCATGGAGGGGGTCAAAGCCATACCCTGCCCAGCAGCATCCTTGGTGGCACGAATCCAGGTAGGTATTATCACAGTCTGTCACTAGAGGATTCTGAATGGTTTCATCTATGATTGTGTCTCAGACCACAAATCGTTCTGTACACAATGACATATCAGGATGTTGAACACAGACTTTTAAGACTATTTGAATGATTGCAAAATTATTTTAGTGGCATCTGTTTTCACTTTACCTGGCTTGTGTACTGTTTCCTATAGAAAAACAATATTTAAAGGATTTTGAATTAACTTTCTGGATTACAATTGCGGGAATGTCAAATAGAAGAGTATTTTCTTTTGTAGGGACATAAAAGCTATTTGAAGGGAAAACAATTCTTCCAATCAGCTGTTGGTAGATTTCAGGCTTGCCAGTTCAGAGAACTGAAGGGTACAATTGAGGTAAATTGAACATTCTGTCTCAAAGTGCAGTGTCACTGATCTGATGGAGCCCCATTAAAATATGTTGCGATGCACACAAATCTGTGATTTAGTTGCAAGGCTACTTACAAAGATGTCAGACACAACCAAATAAACATAAAATGAGACTACCTGTAGATTTTTTTTTTACCTTTCGAAATTTCATTTGATCAGGAAGTCAAAAACTATTGAGTGTTGTCTATTAATCACTGGGAGATCTATCAATACATCTTAAACTGGCTCTTAGAATATGACAGTTTTCACCTGTATTCTTCTTACAGTGTTTACATGCATCTTCGTGTGATTTGTTTATGTCGTAGGCAAAGCGTATCTCCCCGAACTATTTCTGTTGCCCCAGTGGTATATTAGATTACATTTGTTTTTCTCTCAAATGCTCCAAATGATCTCTAGGGGTGCAGATGGCATTTCCACCATGTTTAGAGCACTCTGGACCTGCCCAGGGTTTTGGGGGGTTGAAAAGATTGCAAAGCATGTCCCATGTCTCTTAGAGAGCATTTGGGATCACTAGAGGTCGAAATAATATATTTCGATGAAGGTGCCAGAGATGAGGGGAGAAGGAATGTAGTTATGGTTCTCCAAAATTTGCATGTTTCATGCGGTTAAAATTGCTTTTCAAGTGTTAAGCCTTCATTAGATTTTTATAGACCTTGGAAACAGGGTGGGAATTAGCTGATTCTCCATATGTTGAATTTCAACTCCAACAACCATAAGTATCATAGCAAATGGTGAGACATGCTGAAAGCTTCAGTTCAGCAACATCTGGGGGTCTGGACAACTCCCACCTCTTTATCTATAGGTATATGAAAAAATATTTTTCTTTACCAATTTCATATTACCATATGCTCCAGAGATGACAGCTATCTTCCCTGGTGCAAAAGAGATTTCAAAAACCTTTTGTAATACATGTACAATGAGAAAAACCACAGGATAATGCTTAAAGAGGTAATATGATTCAAATAATTGAACCAGTACAGATTCTGCAGAGAATACAAATCCCCTGGAGTCAATATCCAGGAGTTTTCAATTTTTTTTTTACGAATACCCAAATGACAAACAAAGCAAGCTAAGCCAATTGATTTAAAAGATCATTCAAGCAAATGCAATTCATTTTATTTGGTGGAAGATAAAAGGATGTACACAGCTAAGGAACACAAGATGCAGTGATGGTTGCCAACTTGAAAAGTTTTAAAAGGGGATTGGATCCGTATACGTATATTCATCCTTATGAATGCAATTTCCCCGCTTCTTGGCAGGGGGTTGGACTGGATGGCCCACAAGGTCTGTTCCAACTCTATGATTCTATGACTCTAGGGTAAGGCTTTCAGTAGCCACTACATATATTTTGATATCTTTTGTTGGCCCTTCCATAGGCATATAGTTTGTTATAAACATAGGCTCCAATTATATAAAATCCAAGTAAAAATCATAACAAAGTAAAAAAAGTAAGCCAAAATCATTTTAAAAGTCCAATTCCTAATGAAACAGTGCTGTATGTCTAAAGCTCAATAGGAGTGGAGTAAACCTCACTTTTGTTCCACCACCAGGATTCATGGGTGTGCTTTCAACTACTCTGGCTCTGCCATAGGACACATCCTCTGTTCCAGCAAAAAGAGCAAGCAAAAAAGAAATCTGCTTTAAAAAACCAAAACAACCTGTGTTTTGTTTTGTCTTTTGTGTTAATTGTACTTAAACCAGTTGTGGGAAGGATGACTTCCTTCAGAGGAAAATCACACCTTCTGGAAACTTGTGAAGGAATGATTCCTGCCCTCTGTTTTTGTTGTTGTTGTTGTTGAAGGGAGGGTGTTGAAAAAGAACAAAATTTAGACTTAGCACAGCAGTGACAACCAACCCCCAAACTCAGTATGACCTTTCATATTGCCTTCTGGTAGAAGCAAAACAACAACAACAACAACAACAAAAACCATAGGCAATAATATCAAACTCTTGAGGACTCATTGGTCAATGACCAAAGGGCCAAGCTATAGCTTTCTGGGCTATAGCATCCTATTTTGGAAATGCTAAGTCAAACACGACTACAGCTGCTACAAAAATAGTACCTTCCAAGTCCCCTATCAGATAAATGTCTTAGAAGACTGGAATTCCATGAATTGATTATATCAAAAGCAAGTATTTCCAACAGAGATGGACATTCCTTGCTGAATTCCTCCCATAGGTTAACCAAGGAGAGTGAGTCTAAACACAGCCTGAGCCAAGACTGGAATAAATCCAGTGTGGGAACAAATGATGGACTAGATATGACCCTCATCTAATCCCACAGGACTATGTTTTGTATCCAGAATTGTAGGTCAGTTAAAAATATGTGGAAATATGGGCTGAATGTAGTTAAAGTAAACAGGCACAATGTATAACCTAGTGGGCAATAGCATTGGGAGTACTGTGTTTTATTTTTAAATAACAAAAACTATGGCATTTTAAAAATCCAAAATTAGGTAATCTCGGATGGGAGTACCTCCCGGCTGCGAAGCTTCATTAAGAAGAACCGTGAGGGGCTTAAGAAATTGGATGATCTCAATGCCACTCCATTGCATCATGCTGCAGGACAAGGTCAACTTGAATTAATGCAGATGATTATAGATTCTTCATCTGAAGGTGACAAATAATTGTCTATCTATATATATACTTGCACACAGAGAGACATATGACGTATCATTACACTGAAAGTTTTTTTTTTGTTTCAAGAAAACTAGTCATTTCACATGAAGGGTTACCTGCGGAAGATGTGCTATTTTAGAAATAGATTTCAACTCTGCTGGGGAGGTTGTGGGTGGAATTTTGGGTGGGATTATGTGTTTTAAAATGTGTTTTAAATGTATTTTAACTGTATTTTAGCTGAACACACACAGTACTATTTAATTGTTTTTAATTTTTATATTTGCTTTGTTTTAAATGAATCAAAGTATGTGGTTGTTAGCCACCCTTGGGGAGAAAGACGGGGTATAAATAAATACATATGTCCTATTTTGCAAGGCATACCTTTATATCATCTTATGAAAGAAGCATATCAGTAAAATCAGTGTCTACTGGAAAATAATTGCAATGTATTCACAAGTATAGAGAAGATAAAGCAGTCTTTGGCTTTTTGAGAGTTCAACAATGGTTTACAGAATCCAGATAATATAGAAAAAAATCTTTGGTGCAAAATATTTCATTATTTTATTATATTAGCAGCTGTATTTGCCATTGTTTTTAACAAAATGGAGAGATCATTAATTTCGATAATTTTATGAACCTAACTTCTGCTTTGCTTTCCTACTTTGTGACCAAGCATTAAATGTGACGGACACATCTGGAAATACACCACTACACTGGGCCACAAAAAAGAACCAGATTGAAAGTGTGAAATTACTTCTCCGTGGAGGGGCTAATCCAAACATTTTGAATTCTAATATGATGGCTCCCCTTCACTTGGCTGTGCAGTCCCTTCGCAATGAACTAGTTAAGGTAAAGCTAAATTGTTACCTTTTCATGTATAAATGAATGGAGTGCTTATTAAAACAGTAATAACTGAAATTTAAATGTTCACTTGTGAACACATTTTCCTAATATATTGGTGGCTAAAATAATGAGGTCTGGATATAACAAAATGTGAAATGTATTATGGGATATTCTATATCATACTTAGAAATGCTACATATCTGACTGCCACTGCCACTCCTTTCTCTCTTAAGAGAAGCTTGTTGATCAGCAGAATGTAGCTGTTGAGGAATGAATATAAGCTAAATTTCTATCTATAAATCAGACTTTTGCTGAAAGCCTCTGGAAAAAGATGGTTAAAAATTAGATAAATCTATAAATTACATTGGGAATTGTGGATGGTTCACAGTGTAGACATCCTAATAATAATTTGTAGTAAAGGAAGGATGGGATGCATATCCAAGCCAGGAATTCTAGTGTGTGTTGCCATGCCAAAACATTGTCCATTATAATAATATAATAATAAAACTTTGTTTATTCCCCACCACCATCTCCCCAAGGGGACTTGGGGTGGCTTACATGAGGCCAAGCCCCAACAATAAGACATCAGTAAAACACAACATAGGCAAAGCAAAATAAAATACATGCAAAATATTATAAATAACATATAAACTATAATACAAGAATTTTAAAACATATGAATCCAATACTGTGGGCAGAGCCAAATGTAATAGATTAAAAATTTAAAAACACTGGGTGTAAACAGAGATGGAATATATCTAAGCAGGGTTTTTTTAAAAGGGTAATATAAGATAATTACTTCAATGGGTAGATAAAGTGCTTCAGAGGACATACTGCAGAATGTTGGTCAGATCAGGGTGTTGTTTCCTTTATTCAGGGAAGGCACATTGGAACAGCCAAGTTTTCAAGCTCCTCCTAAAGACTGCCAATGTGGGGACTTGCCTGATGTCCTTGGGGAGTGAGTTCCAGAGTCAAGGGGCCACCATAGAGAAGGCCCTCTCCCTCATCCCCACCAGTCACGCTTGCGAAGGGGGTGGGAACAAGAGCAGGGCCTCTCCAGATGATTGAAGAGATCGTGTGGGTTCATAAACAGAAATGTGCCCAGAAATCTTGGGACAGTGTGGATAGCCATTTAAAGCCTATTTGGTTTTCTTCCATGCATTAGGCACAAAATAACTTCTTAGAAAACAGAGGTCCCCTTTTGGTTGCTTTCTCTTTTGAAAAATGGGAGAATGCAGCCCACCAAAGTCCAGGAAAAGGCAAAAATGGTCTTGAGCCCTCCAGAGATATTCAACCCTGGTCTAATGTGATAGGAAATATGTGGAATGGGAATATGAATGGACAATTATCTAATGACAACTAGTGATTGATAGGAAGTAACGATGAAGCCATCTACTGGTGCTAACACAACATGGTGTAACTTCCATTTGAAGAAGTGTGCTCTGGTGATGGTGGCATCCTTAAAATGTCAATTACAGTTGTATTCTAGTTGGTATGTGACAATTAAAGTACATATTGGCATAGCCTCTGTGTATTAAAAATCCCTTTCCTCCATGAGACAGAACTTATGTTGGCTGAGGGATCATGGAAGTCTAAGGGTGCATCTATCCTGTAGAATTAATATCATTTGTTACTATTTTAATGAACAAGACTCAGTGCAATATAACCATGGGAGTTGTGATTCAGTGAGGCATCAGCACTCTTTGACTGGGTATACTAAAGATTTTGTAAAAATACAGCTCTCGTGACTCCATGAGAGTTAAAATCGGGTCAAACTGCATCATTTCTACAGTGTAGGTGCACCCTTATAAAGTTGAATTCAGTTCATGAGAAAAGACCTTATACTTGGCAGCTGTTATCCATTCTTCGGGAAGAAGTAATGCAATGTTCTATATATTGATATTTCCAATAGCAGAATTCAGAGGTTGCTTACATACCAGTTGCAGAGAGCTTTAAATGTGTAGCCTAGGAAGCTCAGCACAGATTAGAAACTGTGCCTCCAGCCTTTTGCTCTGTAGTAGCCTATGGAGCAGGAAAGTGGTTGCCAAATGTGTGTTGCTTGATGACTGTTACTCTTCAGCAAAATGAAAATCTTGTAGCCTATTCCTATAACTTATTTCTCCTTAAATTGGTATAGGAATGACTTAACCGAAGAACTAAACTAATACATTTTATTTTAATATTTAGATTTTTGTTGAACACACCACCACAGATGTAAACTTGGAAGGAGAAAGTGGAAATACACCTATAACAATAGCATGTTATAAAGATAATTCTGAGGCACTCAAGCTTCTGGTATGTATCACAATTGATCTTTTGTCAGTGTGTTTCTATTTAGCTGTCACTAAATGAGCTCTTCTCTCCTTGCAGATCTCTGTCGGTAAGTATTTGTCTGAAAGTTTAATAACTGCTGAGATGTTATGAATTTCGGGTACTAGCAACTATAACTTTGAATAGTAGTACTCTAGAGGCCCATCCAACTTTATGAATAAGATTTTTAAAGTATTCAAGCAGCTACAGGGGTTGAGGGAATCCGCTTTCACCATTTGGCTA